AAAATGATTATTAATTTTTTCTCTCTCTCTCTCTCTCTTTCTGAAAAAAATTACGAAAAGAAGACACACAAATCCCAGGTGTTTGTCCATGTTATCTCTTACTAAATAGTATTATCAGTGAGAGAGTAAGATATATCGCATATAAAAGAGGTATACGTACGAATCATTTTTTCGCAGATAAGATCGCAAGAATTATGCATATATGAGAATACACGAGATATTGAATAAAATGAATAACGATGTTAATTATATAATATGTCAACATACATATATATAATGCGAGAATAATTATTAAAATCTATATTCAGTCTATTTTAATATGTGTGCAGCGGAATAGAATGAATCTCTTATTATACTTTTTTTTTTAACTTCATAACAATAAAGTAGAAAATCTAGTGAGATTTAATGATGTTTTTATTTAAAGATATTATCATAAATTATTCGCAAGATTCTCGTAAACTTGCAAAAACTTTTGATAACGAAGATAATTGGAATAAAATAATCATAATCCAAATATGTAAATTAAAATAGGAAAATACGTATCGCGTGATGCCGATGAAAGATTATGATCATTCATTTGACGAGTAACACGAATAGTCGGCACGCACATATTACATACCGATGAAAGTAATTACGAATTGATGCATGCGTGAATCTAATAGAAGCCATTTTAACCGCGACTTGTTCGAATAGTTGCTTCACGACGTATAGTCACTCGCTATCTATATGATTGTAAGAGACTGTCATAAAGTTATATGTATATGTATGTACCTACTTACATACGTATTTCGCTTTCGTTTCATCGCAAAACAACGGACGGTTCGGTCGAAACTTGTTACACTTTTCCGAGATATCGACTTTTGCTGCCTAGAAACAGACCAGGTGTACGATTATCTATGTCTCGCGAATTGGTAGATTTTCCCTTTTCATTTCGAAATATCTTCAAGATATTAAAATATATTGAAGGCAATTTATAATAATGTGGTAGATATAGTGCATAAATACATATATGTATATCCATATCATGTAATTGTTGATGAGCTTTTCACTTTTCGCCTTCGCGGATTTTACATTAATTTCATCCAATAAAAATAGTTGAGTATAAGTTATATGATTTCGGCAAATTTATGCCAAACAAGTATCACTTTTCAGTTTTTCATCTCTATGAAACTTTTGGTCGATATCCATAATGTGTTTCAATCAATTTCCTTTGCAATCGTACTTAGTCGTGGTAAAGATTATTCATCATTCGTGTAATTTCAATTTCCATAATTCTTAAAATGGCATAGATATATTTCATCTAAAAACAAATTTACAAACTCTCGTCACGATATATCGGAAAATTTTTTTCAAATATAAAAATTCATTCCCAGAACTGTTTATATTAGTGCAATTATAATCTATAGTATATGTATTGTTCTGTAGTATGTATTATACACATACAGTGAGACATTCATAGTACACCTCTAAAGTGTAACATTGGTTTCTTCTGTAAATAATTAACCGTTTATATATATATATATATATATATATGTATATATGTATAGAAAGGCAGACATGCGGGTGAAATCAATCTCCGCTTATTGCGAAAAGCAACGGTACACCGATCGTATCAGTGTTTGAAAATATTGATGAATCGCCAAGTGACGATTATATAAATCAGAAATCGATAGGTTTTGATAAAAATGATGAAATTTCCTTGTGAATATCGCGATTGTTGGGATATGTTGGTCCAAGATCGACTTTATTATCATGAGTATATTACTCGCATCGTCGTATAATTCATCATGTTTAACGTGTCTTAACGGCCGCACTTATTCCGAATAGAGAACCAAGTTTGTCCTCGACGATGTAAGTCGATTCTAAATAAAGTATGAATACTTTGCGAAACAACACGTGTTATGTATAGCAGGAAGGAACGCGCGCGCGCGCTAATCGAGAATACGCACAATCATTTAAAGTACATTGTGACGAGAGGATTCTTTACCCTAGCCATCACATTTTGGTTCAAGGCCAATTCGAGTATGCATTATATATAATATACAGGGTGGGGAAAAAGTCCCGGACCCTTGAAATATCTCGGAAGGAGTGAGATGTAGAAAAAAATGTTTCAGACAAAAGTTGTATGGTTTCGAGGGGGCCACATGATAAAAATATGGACTTGACCTTGAGTGACCTTTTCAAGGTGAGGTCAATGTGATCGATGTTTTCTTAAATGGAAACCCCCATTTTTTATTGCATATTCTTGTTATATTTCATCTAAAAACAAATTTACAAACTCTCGTCACGATATATCGGAAAATTTTTTTCAAATATAAAAATTTATTCTCAGAACTATTTATATTAGTGCAATTATAATCTATAGTATATGTATTGTTCTGTAGTATGTATTATACACATACAGTGAGACATTCATAGTACACCTCTAAAGTGTAACATTGGTTTCTTCTGTAAATAATTAACCGTTTATATATATATATATATATATATATGTATATATGTATAGAAAGGCAGACATGCGGGTGAAATCAATCTCCGCTTATTGCGAAAAGCAACGGTACACCGATCGTATCAGTGTTTGAAAATATTGATGAATCGCCAAGTGACGATTATATAAATCAGAAATCGATAGGTTTTGATAAAAATGATGAAATTTCCTTGTGAATATCGCGATTGTTGGGATATGTTGGTCCAAGATCGACTTTATTATCATGAGTATATTACTCGCATCGTCGTATAATTCATCATGTTTAACGTGTCTTAACGGCCGCACTTATTCCGAATAGAGAACCAAGTTTGTCCTCGACGATGTAAGTCGATTCTAAATAAAGTATGAATACTTTGCGAAACAACACGTGTTATGTATAGCAGGAAGGAACGCGCGCGCGCGCTAATCGAGAATACGCACAATCATTTAAAGTACATTGTGACGAGAGGATTCTTTACCCTAGCCATCACATTTTGGTTCAAGGCCAATTCGAGTATGCATTATATATAATATACAGGGTGGGGAAAAAGTCCCGGACCCTTGAAATATCTCGGAAGGAGTGAGATGTAGAAAAAAATGTTTCAGACAAAAGTTGTATGGTTTCGAGGGGGCCACATGATAAAAATATGGACTTGACCTTGAGTGACCTTTTCAAGGTGAGGTCAATGTGATCGATGTTTTCTTAAATAACACCCCACATTTTTTATTGCATATTCTTATAGCTTATCTCGAGAGCTTTTCAAAACACTATAATAAAGTATTTTTTATCGAGTACTTTTTGAATTATTTTATATCTTAATCTAACATATTTTGATATTTCTTAAAAACAATTATTTTTTTTACACTAATTGATTTGTCTTCTTATTCTGTACATAAAAGTATTATGGTAAGATTATCGAAAACTAAATATTTTATGAGATATTTTATTTTTTATATCAAAATATGTCAGATTGAGATATAAAATAATTCAAAAAGTACTTAATAAAAAAATACTTTATTATAGTGTTTTGAAAAGCTCTCGAGATAAGCTACAAGAATATGTAATAAAAACGGAGGGTTCCATTTAAGAAAACATCAATCACAATGACCTCACCTTGAAAAGGTCACTCAAGATCAAGTCCATATTTTTATCATGTGGCCCCCTCGAAACCATACAATTTTTGTCTGAAACATTTTTTTCTACATCTCACTCCTTCCGAGATATTTCAAGGGTCCGGGACTTTTTCCCCACCCTGTATATATATATGATTTTTTTATTTGTATAATTTTGTGCTTAAGGTATCAGATCGCATACATTATGTATATATAAAAAATATAAAAAGTAAAGAGAGCATCTCAGCCCTGTTCAAAGTTTAAATATACATTTTTGAATAAAAAAAAATCCCGCGGGGATTGATAAGTAGATTGAGAAACCGTTCAAATTATAAAATCGATAGATGGAGATATGTATTATATCATTAACGATTTCCAATATCTATGAGGAACATTGTCCTTGTATAACTACAAAAGGCTTCATTAAGAGTGACCTTAAAGAGTATGTGGTATATATATATAGTATATATATTGGTTAATTCTCTTAAGCACGTAAATACTAATAATTTAAAATTTTAGCGTTTTTATTTAAAAGATCTGAAGCAAGTGGGTAAAAAGAAAAATTATTAACAGATATTAGTTTCAAAAATGATTTATTTCGATATATAAAATTTACTAGTATATATATATATAAATAATATTAAAGCGGATTAGTTTTTTACGCGTAGATGTTTTAATTTTTAAATATTCATCGTTCTGAATTTAAGTATTAAAAAGATGTATATATGTATAAAGAGAAAGGAAAAAATACAGTTAGAATATGAAACAATTCGAAGGTATTAATTTTTTCGATCAAGGACTGAAAAATTGTAAAAGACCTCGGCCGCGCAACGATCGCACGCAAACGCTAAACTCATCAGACAGAAAAGCACACACACGTGTCTCGACTCTCAGCACGCATGTGTCGTCGTGTGACGTGTGTGGCGTATGGCGTGCGCTGATCGCACGAATGACGAATCGAGCGTCGAGCAATCGAGTCATACCGACACCAACCACCAACCGCATGACAGCACCACGAGAAACGGCGTCGCGACGCTGTCGTCAGGCATGAGGCGGCGTCGGGCGCCGATCGCGGGGAATGGAAATGTACGAGTGTGGAGTATGTGAGATGTGGGCGGCGGTGGCGGTGGCGGGTAACGAACGGGGAAGAGGCAGCAGCGCCTCCGTTGCGTGGCGTCGCGTGGCGTCGCGTGGCGTCGCGTGGCGTCGCGTGGCGTCGCGTGGCGTCGCGTCGGCGGCGTCGGTATTCCAGGTCGCTTTCAGTCATTTCAATCGCCGCGCGTTTCCACCGTTTTCATGGCTCCTCGAGACCTATCGAGAGACAAGCCCGAGTCCGAGCACAAACGCGCCTCTTCCAACGGCTGTCGCTCTCGTTTTCTATCCATCCCTTCTTTCTCTTTCTCTTTTCCTTCTCTTTCTCGTCTCTTTTTCCGTTTCATTCATAGTTTCTCGCCTTCTCTCTTCATTTTATTACCAATATATTTGTCTCTGACGCTTCTCGCGTACTCTCTTCAAGATTGCCTTTTATAACGCGGTTGTTATCGCTCGCCCGGCCTACAGCCAGCCGTTCGTGAATAGCTCTGGTACGAATACTTGGCTGAATAAAGAATACCGTCTGAACTCTATTGCTAGGAATTTAGGGAGTAGCCGGCAAACGAGCGTGACGTCTTCGCGAATGCACGCGACGAGATGCGTTGCGTCAAGTGTATACATGTGCATATATATGTTTGTGTGTGTGCGGTGTGGCGTCTATCATCGTGCCGGTATGAGACGCGGCGGCTTTACAATCTTCTTTTCGTCGTTCTACCGTTCTAATCACTCCGTCAGTGACTAATTGAGTTTTCTAACCGAGACCGACCCCTCGCATGGCTGCCACATCGCGCATCCGCGTCGGCGATCACACTCGCCGCAGCCGAGGAGACACTTTGGAGCCGGCTACAGCAAGGGCAAGCAGGTACGATGTCGTAACGCTACCCCATTGCCAATAATGACGCGAAGGTTTCTCAATCTTTTTTAACGAACGATCGAGTTTGCACGCGTATACACACGTTGTCGCGTCGTCGTGTCCGTGTCCGCACGCGTGCGTGTATATATTTGTAGGAGGGAAAAGAGGGAGGAATGTGGGCGTCTATTAGATTCCTCGTCAATCCGCGCTTCTTTGGCAATAGAATACTTTTTATTACGAATGTATTATGCCACGCTCGCTCACGTGCTCGAGCAATGTATGCGAGTTTATAGCGCGATAGTTGGATGCTTGTGCGCACAATCGAGCGTTTTAAATTTTGAGAAAAAAAAGTCGTGTTGAAAAAGAATTAATCTTTTGTATTTAGTGTGATTTTGTAGAATCACTATATATATACGATCTCCTATTTAATCTTGCGAAATAACAGGAAGCAATCTCACTGTCAAAAAAAAAAAAATGAGAGAATTTACAAAGGAAAGATATAGAAACGTAATAATATTATATGCTGGCCCAAAAATAATTTCTAGCATGATAAAATAGGCCTTAATTTATTTAGGAAATTATTCATTGGGCTGGTGTGCGTGAAAATTTTCTGATAATATATAAAATTAATATTTTAGTTACATTATGTACACAAATATTAAATTAATATCCTTTTCAAACAATATCTTAATTATATTACATTATCGTTGAAAAAAGATATTTATCAAGTATTAGATTAAATACTTGATTAAATTAGTGATTCTCTCAGCTTATTTCCAATCAAAGTTCCGTCTCTTTGTTACGCACGAATAGAATGCTCAAGCGCGTATTACGTTCATGTGTGATGACAACCGAGCGAATCACATACATATATATGTATAATGAATCATAAGAATACTCGTACTTTTCTAATTGCTGATTCCGAGCAATTAATATTTTTTATACAAAGTTTTTGATAGATATATACATATTATATTGATAAGAATCTCACAATACTCGCTATAATATGTATTCTAAAGACGTCAATTAATTGAGGCCAACACACACAAATTATCTCAAGACAGAATGAGACAAGACATAGATAGGAGTATGAATGCCGTTGTGACTCATTGTGTATGAATTTGTGTATGAATGCATCTAGCGAGAGGATACATATTTGCAAAGCATATGTATATGTGTACCCGTAACGCATTTGAATCCTAAGGAGAGAAAAATGCCATTCCTCCTACCCTATATACAACGGTGATACTTTGAATGTGGGATCCATTTGCGAGTTGTGTGTATAAATCTTTTAACTATGCATATAAGAACACATGTGTGTATGTATGTATCGCTTATAATGCGACGAAGATTATGACTTGATCAAATGAGGTCACTTCAACCTATTTTTTTCTCCATTCGCTTTGATCTCGCCTTCTCGCGAGTGCACATAAAGTCATCGCCAGTTACACTGTTGCATCGGTGATATTGCGTTCCTATCAAATGTTTATCTCATCCAAAAAAATTTGAAACTTGGCCAGAAAAAAATGTATCATTATCAAATCATAAACATGAACATATATTGTAAAATATACAGCGCAATATTATAATATATGCTAATTGATGATATTAATTATATATATAAAAAGATGGAGATTCCTGGGAATTTAATAGTTTCCTTGACAATACTCCGTTATATCTTTCTTCAATTTATAAAGTCATGCAAACGACCAAATAATATTTTGCAACGTTAACGCGTACGTTGGAAAAATCATTGCTTTTTTTTTTAAGTATCGAAAATAATGTAATAAGCGACATATATTAAAAATGTAAAAATTTTCTCTCTAATCTAATAACAACACGTATCTCTCGTAAACTGGCGCGTTCCTAGCATTTAGCTAAACCGCAATAAATGAAAGCAAACGCCTATATGGCGCGACGAGAGAAATTTCGCGTGTAGATGATGACGTACATGATACGTTGTTATGGCGTGGAAGTTGATCGATTACATTGTCGTGCGCGAACCTTCAACCCTTTGCCTTCGGTTTAATTATCGGCACGCGATTATTCGCCAAGGCATTAAAAAGTCCTAGTTTGAAAGCTCATTCGATTCGCATATCTGCGATGCAGTCTTCTTCGGGAACAAATCCTTCAAGGGTCAGATAATCTGTAATATACTTGGTCTATACACATTTTCTTTTTTCTTCCCCTATGATTATCGTCCTCTTTCATCATGAGTCATGATGAACGAAATGATTTTGCCTATCCTTTTGTCACACTGTCTGTAACTCTGTATATATGTATAAAAGAAAAGAAAAGATTATGTAATATACACAAAATATATATCCTTCATTAAAAATGCACTTTCTTTTTTTTTTTTACATCGCGGTTTCTTTGACCAATCTTGAGAATCAATTTTTTTTAGCGATTTTTTTTTTTTTGGTTATTATTTCGAAACGCGGAATATAATAATCGAGTCACGGTATTCGCATAAATGAATTGTATACAAATATATATATATATATATTTCACAGCTTTACGCTTGAGATCTGCGAAAAAAATCTGCTAATATACAGAATGTTTGAAAACGTATTGACATTAAGAAGTACTAATCGCATCGTGTAAAGTGTAAAGAACACTACACGGTATTCGCAGAGGCATAAAGACGAAGTATATTGTCGCGTGTAAGTGCCAAATTAACCCACTTTATAGTTGCGTACCGAGTAATTCGAGTAGAATTTCGTATAGTCTGATATTACAGCGACATTACAATACATAATCTATTATAAAATGTGCGCATGGGCTTTGTAATATCCAATTATATATGTACATACGAATCATGTATGAACTTGTAATATCAATGTGAATAATATCACAGACATACGAGATCCCCCTTATTAAGCGCAAGACTCGAGATTTCTCTTGAATTTTTTGATCAATTTTCAATCGATTTTTCTTCTTTATATAAATTTTGAGACATTCGTAACGTTTTGAATAAAACGACTGAAAATGAAGGACTTTTTGAAAACTCAGTTTCAAAAGAACCAATAAATTAAATATTCATATCAAAATCATATCAGTTAATTTTAAGTACATATTTTAGTTTGATAAGGTTTTGATTTGAATTACAAAGATATATAATATTAAAAGTATGAAAATGATGTGCAATACGAGATGACATCTCTCGACATTCTCGTTAAGAGAAAATAGATCAAGGAAAATTTGTAATTTTAAAAAGATTATAGATGGACGCGAGGAACAATGCGCACAGAAATACATTACGTCGATTATTTTCCTTGTTACAAATAAATATAATTATTATTTTTTATGTGCATCTAGACATTGAAAAACGCGCGCGAATATAAATATTTTTTTTTAACGATATTTGCAAGAGTCGTGAAAGAGAGCAAATTATTCGATTATTCTAATAAATTGTACATAATTGTAATAAAATAAATATAGAAAATTCGGATTTCCGGATTTGATGTGAGATAATATTGATGATATAAGGAATCGTACGCGTCATCGTAATTATTTTTTCGTGTTTCACACACACACACATATACGACGTGCTCTCTATAATTTGCACTCTATATACAATGCACGTATAATAGATGTAGACACATTTATTGATATTTATTGATATTTCATTGCATAAAAATGTATCATGACTGATATACATATACATATACATATTCGCATTTGCTATTACAAAGGTCGCGTATATTTAAAATTATTAAATACTTATTTATAATCATACGGCTATATTTATATGTAAATATGCGATATGGATCGCGAGCTTAAATATTTTACTAGTTTAATTAATAATAATTTATATGATTCACGATATTAAATTGTCTAACTGAGAAATTTACACGCGTTTAATCAATTCTCTTTTATGGTTTATTTAATTGCAGGTATTTGCCGCAACGTTCGATACCTCAGAAAATACGGGAGACCTGAAGGAAACAGGTGTGTGAAGGAGATTCTAAATCTTTCTCAGGATATATAATGCGCGAATTGACAATTCATGGCTTTGTTGCACGGATTAGAGTAAACGATTTTTCGCGCGATATCGAAGAGATGCGTAATGTAATGATCGTCCCAAAATAATTCAGTACATAAAAAAAAGCTGTTGCATCTTTATTTCTTCTTCTATGAGCGATACGACAGTGTCGTATCGCAATGTCGAAGAACGAGCGAGTTTTGCGATATTGCGCGCTCGAATCTTGAAAGAGCGGTGGAATATCACATTAAAATCGCGTAAGAATATATTTCGACTAAGAATATGGAGGATATAAAAGTGCCGAACCTGGGGCAAGCCGCGTCGGCTGCGTGTTCTATGGCGACCAATTTCTTGGCACCTGTGAAGACTGAGCGCCAGATTTACGAAAACTCGATGCTCGAAGATGATCCTAATGCCAACTCAGTAGTACCGACGTCGCAAGAAGATAAGACCGTGCCTAGATGGGGTCCAAATCACAAAGGTGCCCAAGAGCTTGCAAATCTGTATAGTACCGGTATGTAGATTTTTTACCGCAATCATTTAAGACTCTGATCGCACGGTTGTATCCTACCTGAAATTTATTATATGACGACCTACTATTAATTATTCGTATCGATTGCACATTGCAGTTTTTGCTTTGTCAGAAAAATGCAGAAAGCACAGTATTTATTAACAAAATTTTCATAAGTGCATATTTTATCAAATATAAAAGATGCGAATGCTTACAGATTTGTGTATTTTTCACATATTTTATGACGATGCAAGACTTAACTCTTTACAAATTTTTTCCAAAAATCTTGTTACATATTACTATTTTTTAAAAATCATTATGGATTGCTACTTTTCCAACAAATTGATTTGAAATAATTGTATTACAATAAACAATTGTGCCATAATTACGATACAACGTACACTTTCAGGGAAGAGAACACAAGAGTGCATCTGTGTAGGAATTTGTATTACACTCATAGCCGTGAACTCTGTTCTTGTGCTCATAAGATTACGATTGGAAAATTTAAGTTCCATAGCAATAGCTGCATTATGCGGTATTATCACGGCTGATTTTGGATCCGGTTTGGTTCATTGGGCCGCGGATACCTGGGGATCCGTTGAACTTCCGATTCTGGGGAAGGTAAGGCACTTTCATGTTAAAAAAATGTATGCAAATCTTAAATTTTTTAATTTACAAAAACATTATATTCTCTCCTTCCCTAGAATTTTCTAAGACCATTTCGTGAACATCATATAGATCCTACCAGCATAACGAGACACGATTTCATAGAGACTAACGGCGATAATTTTATGGTCGCGATACCAGTACTATCCAAACTCACGTGGGATTTTCTGACATTGCCCGAAGTAGAAATGCAACAGAAATTTGTTTGGACGTGTTATTGGTTCTTGCTTGCCATTTTTGTAGCAATGACTAATCAGGTAAATATCTAATTAGAAAAAGATAAGCGTTAAGAAAGTACAAGTGTTTAAAAAAAAAAATTAATCAGTTTACATAATAAAATATTTTAATTTTATCTCTCGTACACTTTATCTTGTCTTATCATATATTTAGTATTGGGATATGTTCCAATTTTGTTCCAGTTTTATATGAACAATATATTTACGAGAGATTATTTTGTATTGCATATTTATAAAGAAAAATATAGATATAATATATTTAGAGCAATATACTTTACAGATACACAAATGGTCGCATACATATTTTGGATTACCTACTTGGGTTATTTGGCTTCAAGAACACAGAATTATCCTGCCAAGAAAGCATCATCGAGTGCACCATGTCGCGCCTCACGAGACTTACTTTTGCATTACTACAGGATGGTTGAATTGGCCCTTAGAAAAACTCCAATTTTGGTACATCTTGGAGGTGATAATCGAAAGGACTATCGGTTGTAAACCCAGAGCAGATGATCTGAAATGGGCACAGAAGCGTTCTTGAGAATTAATAATTGCCCTCCTTTCGTTACTGTACATTTTATTGTACAATCAAGATATTTAACATACAGCCAAATATCGAAACGAAACTCAAACATCGAACTATAAAATAGAAATTAAGTGAAAAGTTTGTATGGGCAATAGTAAAAGGTTTATATGCATGGAATCCTCGATTGCCAGAAAAGTGTACACACATGTATGTATATATACACTTTTTTCAAACTAAGTCTTTTGTGAAGACAAAAGACTTACGAATTTGCAATCTGACGATTCTATCGACACCACTATATTGATAATGTCTTTATATACCGCACAATCACCATGCATCAAATTGCACAAATTATAAACTTTATTTTAACACGATATACAAAGCAATTTGAAAAAATCTGATGTTAAAGGTCAGATGTATAGAATAGGCTAAAATATCTTAAGTATCTTTTGAAAAAATTAATTACATTTTTCTAATGTGTAGTTAAATGGATAAAAGCAAACATAAGAAATTATATAACACGTGATAAATACATACGCGATTATGTATATATGATTTCGGTATTATGTATGTACATACACATGTACATCTAATCGCATATATAAGAGGATATTTGAAAATTATTGAATTGTTAATTTCATGTACAAAGCTATCTGCAAAATATTATCAATTTTTGATGAATCAACAATTTTCTCTCTCTCTGTTTTTTTTCTTTTATCAAAAATCAACTGTAACTGTAACGTTTTTACTGAAACAAATGTTTCACAATTTCATCTTTTATATAAATTAAACTGAATTCCCTGAACCTGCTGCTTTGTATGAGGTTAATCAAAATTTTTTATATATGTATTTTTTAAATATGTACAAAGAGAGAGAAAGAGCTATATATATACATCAATTGATCGAAACTAACAATGCCAATTTCAAATTTTACATTTTTAGAATTCTTTAGTTAAAAGTTTTTTTCTGATTTGTTATAAAAATTAATTTTATTATAGCAAAGCATAGAAAGTATTTTATTACATACTTTCATTTCAATAATTTGAATATTTGTTTGTTGTTATTTTTTGTATAATCGAGTTGATTAATTTTATTGCTAAAATTTAAAGCTAAGATCAAATTAACTAATAAAGACTCTTATGAATATATCATATGAAGGAAATAAAAGGCAATCAAGAGCCAGCGCGGTAATTTGTGCGCATATGTTTTATTACAATCAAATTACATTGACATTTTGACTACGTGATAGACAAAATCACAAAAAGCGTACGTTTTGATCCCTTTTTTTGGACCATCCTCGTAAGACCAGCGTAATTATAAAATATATGGAATATATATTATATCCAAAATGTGACAGTAATAATACGCAGGAAAATGTAATTTGATTGTAATAAAACATATGCGCACAAATTACCGCGCTGGCTCTTGATTGCCTTTTATTTCTTTCGTATGATTAAAGTTAAGAATTGTACAATAGTATGTCAGATGTCTGCTTGATAGTACTATGTGTCATACATAGTAACAATATGTGTAATCATTGATATGCATGTTGAAACCGCATAGTATGCTATAGGAAATATACATGCATATATAGAAACTATAAGAAATGGTTAAAAGCGCTTTTTTTATTGTAGAAAAATATTTAAAATTAAGATTCTGGGAGAAAATACACTACGATACATGAACGATCGATAAGACAAAGAAGAAATAAATAATTATACACACGAAATGCATGAGAATAGAAAATTTCTACACAAAGATAATAATGTGTTACTAAAATTTTGTTTCTTGCATGCATATTTCTTTGCATCTTGCACACTTGTTACATTTCTTAGTTTGGAACATAAATAAGGGTCTAATAATCGTGAGGTGCTAAGCAAGTACAAGTCGTAGGTCGTAGGTTCAGGGACCAAAAGCGACTTACCGCTCTATGTATAACAATCTTTTGAACGCTTGGTTTAATTTTGATAAAGTTATATATGCAGTTTACTGTATGTGTCTGATAAACCGTTTACAATATTTTTGCTCATCTACAAACGTTTTATTTTTAGCTAATGTCAAAGCATACAACTGTAACACGTATGTTTAATATACTTTAAAATTCGACCATAAATTTTAAGTTCCTTACATGCAAATGAGAAATATCTTTTAAAGAAAATATATTATTTATAAGAAGATCACAGTTACTGTGATTATTGTAACCATTGTTATTGTTATTATTATTGTTATAAAAGAGACAAAGTATAAATTTCAAACAAACTGGTCAGATTAAAATCCAGCCAGATTTGAAACTACTTTATTTTCATATACAATGTGTGATGAGAATTATTTAATATCGCTGTGAAATATTAGATCCAAAGAGACAATTTTATTTATTTACATATTTATTTAATTAAATGATCAGTATATATGAGATATACTAATACAATAAGTTTCTTTATATTTTCTTTTCAAATCCTATCACCTGCGCAATAAAGTGATTAAAATATCTTATAAATATTCCAATTCAAACGTTCAAGTTAAACTTTAATTTCAATTGGGGAAGAGAAAAAATAGGCTTTTTATATATAATGAATATAATTATATGTTAGGCGAAAAAACAATGCTGTAAGAATATGAATTCAATAAATGCAAACAAAAAGGCAGGAGCATTTATTAAATCAAGAATGCTGTTAATCAAGTATTAGAAATTTCTAATACAAATAAAAATGTACAGCTATTTATAATATTAATAGAGGGAATTTGATAAAAATCTACCGGATTAGCATATTTTATTCTAGAAATCTACATTTTTTAAAGAGAACATTGGAAAAGCTAATTGTTTAACTAGTAACATTATGTAAATAGTCGATATAACGATATACGATGTTACTGAACTGTTGGATTTGAAACTACTATATGTATATAAATTTTACAAACGAACAATTTTGCTTACCCGTCCCCGTTATGTGACATTAATATAAAATTTACGTTGCTATTAATATACATAAGTAATATATGATTTTAGTATACATACACATACATACATTTTTATATGAGAGATAAATATTATGTTTCGTTTAAACATAGTTCTTGTAATGAATAAGATTAAAAAATGTAATTAAGAATATGCCGAATGAATGTTGGATGTATAATACAAAAAATGTGTATAGTTATAAACAATAGAATGCTGATGGTGTGGTAATATTTGACAAATAAGATCGGACATAAAAAACAATAATATATCTGATCTTGAAATTATAAATTCGCGGTAATAAAACATATATAAATTTTGCGAAGCTAACATTATAAGAAAAAAAGAGATAAATGCAAAAATTCATGTGTATTCTAAATATTTTATATAACCGAAATGATTATATGTTATTGCGCGCGATAACGCATAGGAAATAATCGAAAAAAAAATACCAAGTAATGATACTGTACCACTATTTTCATATAATCATAATTACGCTTTTTTAAATAATGTGTAATTGTATTATACTGTGGCCTTGATCTCTTCTTAAAACATTCTATTTTGATATGTAACTTTAATTTAAATTTTATTTTTACCTTAAAAACATTAAATGCGTTAATTAAATACTATTACGATTTCACAAAATCTTTTTGTATGTCTTTTGTACATCTTTTGCATTCAGTTTTTTTTCTTTCACAACTAAATAATTCAAGTTATTTTATTAAAGTCTCAGCAGAATTACATAAATATTAATAAAAAACAAATTATATAGAGCAACACAATGACGCATTTGCTACTGCTGCTGCTGCTGCTGAAAGTACAAAGAGAATAGAAGACAAGAGCTAGCTGTGCATATATTATAAATGTATTATATTTATGTAATATTTTGCAAATGTTATCTATGTGTGCGCATGTCCTTTTACAATAAGTATATTTACTGGACTGAGATAACAAAGAGCAAGATATTTTTGTAATGTAATGTTAACTTTTTTATTCGAATTATCAACAAACGAATTTTATGTATTGTTTTTATATTCTTTTTTTATTTAGCAATTAATTTGTGCATGAAACACGCTATATCTAAAAAAGCAATTGCTAAGATGGTATAAAATTAAAGCAAATTGCATTTTTTTTATTACTATAAGAATTTTTTTTTTACGAAATATATTGTTAATAATATACTTAGGCAGCTCATGATGAAATAAATAATCTAAGGGCAGTATGTCGCATATAGGAAACAAGTGCATGTTGAAGAATGGACTGACGATTATATATATGTATATATATAAATAAACAAGAGGTCACGTTTTAATCTTTCCATATAATTATCTCAGATCACTTCATTAGAATATATAAAAAAATATAATCAGGTTATATATACCCAGCAAGCAAAATGATGCAAACTTTGCGCAAAGTTTGCAGCAAACCCGAGCATGCCTTTACAGCAAAATTGTGACAAGGTGTGTCCGCAAAAAGCTTAGCTTTTGCTGGCAAGGCTTGTCGCAATAGTGTGATGCACATTTTTTATTCTAACTAGTTGTTATAATACTTTATTTATTAATATGTCGTCGCATATACTTTTATCATCCTCTTTTTTTTTACGAGATTTACGAGAACATATTATACAGTCTAAGATACTACAGAAACGAAGGCTTGAATAAAGCATGAAATTATGTTTTTCTGTACCTTTTTCTCACAACACTGTCACAATTCAAAGAATTTTATTTTCCTTCGTGAACACACTTCACTTTATCATTTATATAATAATCAACAGTGCGTTTGAGTAAAAGCGCGAACGCGCGCGCTTGAAATGATTACAGTTTGAAAATTTTTAAAAGCTCGCAGAGCAGCCAATATAAACATTAAATGCAACGGTACAATATAAGGGCAGTAATAGTTCAGCGACAATAGTCGTCACGTGATCCTTTTTGTCGCTCAAACGTTCGGTTTCAGCGGCTCGTGAAAATGCACCTTAAGGCTCAACATCATGTGCTAGTCTGATACGGACTTAAGAGCCTACCTAGACAAATTTGCATAAACGTATAATACATACGTATAGAAAAATCAATCAATCATTTGTCTAGTACGAAGTAGAGTCCTAGATTATCTAAGACTCTAGTACGAAGAAGGTAGCATGGTAGCAATAGATTTATTCTTTATAGCTGAACTGAGCTGAATTGATCAGCTCAGTTCAGCTTAGTTCATCTCATAGATAATATTAAATAAATATAAATAGAGCTTTATCTATCTTACTGTGTGTCAAGATAAGTGGGGTAAAGGGAGCACTTTGACACATTTTCCTCCCTCGCGCAATCGCCGAGAGAAACGTGCGAAATAGTGCGAATATGAATGCGTTTGCGCAAAGGAAGAAAATTTGCTATCTATTTATCTATCTATATGCTACTTATATATATAAAGATCTAAAGGCAGAGATGGAACAAAGCTCTAACTATATTTAATATATCTATGATTCAGCTGTAAAGAACAGACCCAATATGCATTAGACATTTGATTGGTTAATTTCTTGCACATGCATTATGCGTCTCGTTCTCCTCCCTTTATTCCCTTTAACAATGGCAGCTACGCCGATTTAAATATTATATTATATTACATATTCATTGCATATCCGTATCAATATATTACAGTAAATTAGTTTGCATACAGCAAAATTTGCCCGTCATTGACAGTGATTTGACAATTAAAAAGAGCGAATAATCCAATGGCTCTTGTACGCTGGACGTGGTTGGATCATTGGATTAACTTAATAAGAGAAAAACAGAGAGAGAGCTTTTCTATATGTTTCTATTTATAACTGCAAATCTGCAAATGTGCGACGTTTTATATAAAAATCAATCTATTTCGTCATTTATATTTACGTAGCTATTGTATGCAGCTAACGTCTGTATTGAATCTTTAAAAGAAATCTTCGGATTTTCACCAAATAGTTTTTGTATCTGAGATATTTTTCAAACTTACATAATGGAAAATTAAAAAAATGTGAGTGTTATGACAGATTAGAGGTGACAAAAATGTCATCCTCTTATTGACATTAATTAACTTGTAACTTTTGATATCATCTTTGGTTTCTTATTTTTAATGATTTCACGAGAGCAGAACAAACTAAGTAACAACTAAGCAGATTATACACTGAGTGAAAAGATGGAACAGAATCTTGGATTTGTGGATATGCTGGAAGAGAGGCGAAAGGACTGTGACTTTTTTTGGGCAACACGTTCCATGAATCCATTGTTACCGCATATGCTGCCAGTGGAATCAGTTTACAATAGAGACAAGATAATACAATCTGTTTTGCTCGATGCACAGGTCAGAGCTGCAATTGATACAATAGCAAAGAAAACAGGAGTTGAAGTTAAAGATGTCGAGAATAATGCTCGTGTTATGATAAATGAAATGGCTAGCAGAGCAGATTTGGCAACAGTACGTTGGCTAGGTATTGTTTTAATAATAAGTAATTTTTTAATTTTTTGTATTATTTTGTTTTGTGACTTTTTTTAAAAAGTCAATTAATAGAATCAGTATTGATATGCATATGTATATATAATTCTTTTCCAATTAATGCATTTGTTATCATGACAAATTTATGTAGAATTAAATGGAAATGTAATCTTAACGATAGAGTGCTATTTTAGTAAATATGGCTCACTTTTAAATATCTTATCTCTTGTGTTTAAAAATTTTAGGTATTTTTATTACAAAAGCTATAAAGAGAATGTTTTCAAGAATTTATGTAAATGAAACCAATCTTTTTAACTTAAAGAAGGAAACACAGATATCTCAGATACAATATGTTTATGTACCAACTCATAGAAGTTATCTGGATTTTATTCTGCTATCGTACATTCTTTTTTCTTACGACATGGCATTACCGAATATCGCGGCTGGTATGGATTTTTACAATATGAAAATAATTGGAGAACTGTTGCGTAAAACTGGAGCGTTTTATATACGACGTAGTTTCTCTAATGATTTATTATACAAGCAAATTTTTCGCTCGTATATCAACACTATTGTTAGTCACAGCGATAGGGCGATAGAATTTTTTCTCGAGGGCACTCGAAGTCGTAGTCAGAAGAGTACGATGCCAAAATACGGTAAGCAATAAGCAGTAAGACATTTCTAAAATTAGAAATAGATATTACATTCCATATCTTTTTTTTATAGGTCTTCTATCTATTATTTTAGAAAGTTTACTTCAAGGCGACGTACCCGACATACATTTTATACCTATGAGTATTAGTTACGAACGGCCACCGGAAGAATTATTATTTATTTACGAAATGTTAGGAGTTCCGAAGCCGAAAGAAAGTACGACCGCGCTTTTTCGGTCACTTTCTATATTACAAAATCCTTTTTCTCACGGTTGCATTTACTTTAACATCGGAAAACCAATCTCCGCTCGCCAATTTGTAGATACAACACATCGCAAAAGAAAAATCATACATCCTTCCTTTAAAATCCCATCGTCAGTTGTAGAAGATGTAGCTTATTTTATAGTAGAATCACACAAGAAAAACACTGTACTTATGCCGATCAATATTATTGCTTTGCTTCTCAATGAAAGAATTCAGATGAAACCAAAGGAGCCATATACATTCGATTCATTGACCAAAGATTATCAATGGTTCAAAAGCTTTATCACCAAATCATTGAGAGCAATAATGTATGAAACTGAAAAAATGTAAATATATTAAACTTATTTTTTTGCATTACATGATATTGTAATACTTTTAAGAATAATTTTGTGACTTGTTACAGTAATGATGACGAGATCAAACAAGAGATATTAGAATCTTTAAAACCGCACAATGAACTAATTGTATTTGACTCATCAAATATATTAAAACTCAAACAACGACATAAAGGAATTAAATTACAGAATCAATCAAATATCAAGGGACATTCCTTATCTGAACGGACTATGCAAATAGCGGTACCTGCCATTAATATTGCAGTTTATATCAATCCAGCTTTGGCTTTCCTGGTGGAAGCAGCTTTCATTACTGCAACAATAGAAGATAATGGCACCCGAAGCGGTAACAATTGTATTTTTATTTATATATGATATAATAATAAGATAAGGGATGTAAACATAAATAATTACCAACTACTTATATATGTTTTCCTGTGTAAATGGAATATACATTAGATTGATCAAAAGGTCTGTTCCATTTATTTTTTTTTTTTTTTTTTTTTTTTTTTTTTTTTATAATTTTTTTATTTGTAGAACCAAATTTTTTAAATGCAAATTTTAATAGTTTGATATACATTCTCTACACACGAAGTCTGATTATAGTTATTTAATCGTCACTTAAATGATTAGTATTTATTGGTGTGTTACATTTTATCGATTTGTCATGGACGTTTCATTATTAATATCTTCAGATGCGGATATTACGACTCGTAAAACTTTAACGATGCGATATGCATGGCACGGGACTTAGATTCTACTAGCTTTTGTAGCCCCCAATCAGACATACCTCCTCCAGAAGCCTTGTAACTGCCTCTATGTCATTATAGGTCTTGGTCATTTGGCTCACCCGGTTGCTACATAAGACTGTAACAAGAATAATACTTTATTATTAAACTCCCAGATTTAAAAAAGATGTCTTAGCACTTTGATAAAGAAATATGCAGAGAGGCCGGACCATTACATTTAAATTCTGTGAGAACAACGTAAGCGCAACACTTGATAGATTTTTATATCTGTTTTTTATTTTATTCTATATAATATTTATATTAATAAACAAGAAAAGCTTTTCATCAATCTTATATTTTATTCAACATTAGGAGTAGCTTTGGAACGATATCAATTATTAAGAAAATTGCTCAGCACAGAGTTTGTAATGCGCCCGATTGAAGATAAAGATTTAATTAAAACAGAATGGGAAAAGTCATTGAATATATTGCTGTCAGAGGATTGTTTATATATGGCGGAAGATCTGATTCGTCCAGGAACTAATACGCAACTGTTTTCTATTTTGCATAATGTTATATTACCCTTCATAGATGTTATATATGTGATATGTATCTTATTATTCGAGGTAAGAACAAAAATTTATTAGCAAGAAGCTTTGATATTGATTAATGAGAGATAGTATGCATTGAATATATTCGCTCTGAAAATCTCGTTTTAGTGGAATGAAAGAACGTCGGGCAAACTCACGGATCGGACGATTCTTGTTGAAGCACAGAAAGAAGTTGAAAGATTATTGCTCGAAACTAGAGGCTGGTGTCAACATCCCTATTGTTTATCTCTTGATCTTTATAATACAACATGGTCCAATTTATTATCGCAAGGTATCGTAATTGCACATCCGGAACATGCCAATATATATCGAACGGATAAAGCAAAATTGGCATACCTTATCAGCGTATTGCGTGAGTTACCGTTGCAACGTCCCATAGGGAGCTACATTGATGCGTTTCCTTTAATTATCTTAATGCCATCGGTGAATACACAAGCTAAATTATAATACTCATTTATCGCGAAATAACGGTTTCAGTATGCTAATACTAACAATAATAACAACACTAATTGACTAATTGACAAATTAATTTTAATTGGGAAGTGTGTCGAGATACGCGTCACTGATATGTACATTCCAATTTCGTTTAACAAGAGAATGATATGATAATAATGAGATATCATTATCGATATATAGGTATGTTCTATTATTAATGGTGATGAGAATAAAATGTTTTCGTACATGAGACTCTGTTCACAAAGCTTAATATTGAAAATTGGAAACTTAATAATTATTATAAAGCTTGTATAATTTTTAACTATTTATTATCTCTCATATAAAACGTCTGAACATATTTCGACATTGGTTATAAAAATATCAGTAAAAAGAGAGAACTTAAAATCCTATTTTTAAAAAATAATTGATATTTCCGCACGAGTGTTTGCAAAATATTAAAATCATTTTTATCTTCCTAAGCAGACTTATATTTTTATCCATATTGTGATAACTGCTATTTTGAAATAAATTTATCGATTTATGTCACATACATTTGTATTATTAAAAGTTATGAAAGTTTTAAAAACAGAGGAAAGAGAGATATTCACTGTTTCCACTACAAAATATTTAAATTTAAAAGTCAGAAACGAAACTATTCATATTGTTAAGTATCCTAGCGACGTCGTCATCAAGATCGATGGATCTTTTTCTTTTACCGAGAAAAACCGTAGCAGCGGTTGTAGTAGTCATAGGAGTACTCATATTCCGAAAGAGAAGCTGCAAAGATTCCATTGTCAATAACAGATCCCAAAGAAAACAAAGATACATTTATAGCGAAGCCCTATCTAAGATATCCTAGAAGAGAGAACAATGTCGTAAAAAAAAGAAAAAATTCTTACCATAACTAATCGAACAAGGTAAACTGCGAACGTGAGGAACGATATAGCCAGCAGTGCGCCTTCTATTGAGGGAAATCCTATAGAATGGTCATCGTGACCTTCGTAGCCATGCCCGTGATAATCCGCACCTCTTACTTTTCGATTTGACGACATAGTAGCGGTGAGGCGAGATTCTGTCGATGAATAAAAATGTAAAACCTTTCAAAAAAATCATGCTACTTGACGGTATATGCCAAGAGTATGAAATTTTTTTACCTATTTCCGACATTAATGTCTTTTCGAACATTTTGAGAAAGTGAAGTTTTCCTTCGAAAGACACTGGCTGCGATTTTAAAGTACTATGAACATTCTTAAGTATGTCTATGGGCAAATATTGAAATATACCATCGTCCTTCTTCAGCGTGTAGTTGTAGTATTTATCCCGTGTCATTTCTTGTTTGTGCGTAGTAGTAATCGGCGATTGAGTTGTAAGTGTATTAAATGTTGTATCCTTTGTCGATGAAATTGTACTATATTTGTTATTTAATTTATTCTAAAACATTAAAATTGTTTATAATATATAATTGAAAAGTTTTGTTTTATCAAACGATCATCCTTTCGTTACCTCAGTCACAGAAATATCAGTTCTCGTTGCTGCGCGATGTTTACTGATCTCTGTGAAATTTTCGGCGATTTGTTCGGGAAGTGAATTCGATAATGTTGTCGACATTGTGACAGAATCTATCTTCTTAATCTCTATTTTTTTATCATCCATCGCATATGTAGCTTTAACGGGATACCTGCCGTAAGTTTGACTGCTGTTTCGTTGATCATCGGGAGAGGTAATATCACCGCGTATAAACTTATAAAACTGATCGTGCTGGACAGAAGGTATCCTTAAAGGACACAAAAGCGATATTTAATTTTGGACATAATTTATAGACTAGGTACAACATATATATCTACAACTTACCTATAAATCTTGTTCTCGTCCGAGAATTGCGGCATGTCCACCCATTCTGCCAAATTAATGTTCAAAAAAAATATTATGGAACATAGAGCGCAAAACATGTTACTCGCAAACATATTTGAGGACAAACGTTGTTATTTTTTATTTTGTTATATCGCCTGCGAGGAAAACACACTTCATTCTCATCCGCTATTTGTATCGTTTCTAATTGAGTAATATGCCAAGTTTCCCAGCTCCTATACTCCTACGCTCCTTGCGCATCCGTAATTCAGAAACTGTCTGACAATGGACAACGGATATGCTGCAGGGGACGCTATTATTTCAAGTAGAGATGTTCTGTTAGGATTAAAGAGAACGAAACGGCTGATGATGCTCATGCATTTGGAACAATTGTCACGCAGAAGAAGCTGCGTTCTCGTATTTTTTTATGATTTATCTCTCGTATATGTGATACCATATAATTTAATTTATTATAACTTATATCTTTCACATACGATATACTATCACGATGTCGAAATTTTTTTCCAAAAATTTTTTTTTTTTTTTTTTTTTTTTTTTTTAGAGAAATGCGTCGCGCGCGCGCGCAAAGTACAAACAATCTATATAGAGAAAAATGTATAAATCGTAAAAACAAATCTTGTTATTTATTTTGCTCTTAGAAATAGTTATACATAGCTTATCTATGGAAAAATCGTTTTTATAAAACTTGCGAATTGGTAAAATGAGCGCTATCACGCTAATCACGATTCTCTGTATAATATGTTTCCGCCTATTCCCTTTATATAATCCAAATTGCTTTGCGCAATGTAAAGTTACGAAGAGAAATGCGTATATAGATCTAATCGTCAACTGTAACTTAATTATTATTTATTCTTCATTACTGCTACAAGAAAAAGAGAATTGATAGTATATATAAATTGGAAATTCTACGACATTTTAAATACATAATAGCCGATAATTTCCATATTATTATTTAAATATTTGCATTTTGTGACATGTCTGTTTTTATATCGGAATGAATAATGTATATACATATCACTTAATTGCGCTATGATATAGCGAAATTTTTTGTTTAAATTATTAACTTTACTTAGAATGTGTGTAGAATGAAATTTAAGTTGAATTTATGTGTACAATTACATGAGCTGATATTCTCAAGTATTATAGAAACATATTGTTTATATATATATATATATATATATATAAACGCACATACATGGTTTATATATTTTGCCGTTAAACTACGAACGCAAAAAAGCATAAGATTAGCATAATGATAAGAATATAAGAGCATTCGACAATAACATTTTTATTTCTACATTAGAAGAAAATTTAAATGCGTCACTAAGAGTATTGTAAATGCATTTTCCATGAGCAGAATGTTGATATCTATATATGACTTATAGATATATTACAATTGTATAGCATAGATTCTTAAATATATATGTAATATGCGCATAAACATTGATCTACGATATATTCTCTATATGATTACAATAAACTTTTAAAAGTTGTTATAAAATATAACAATTAATGCGTCTGTATTAACGTCTATTTGTATTTCTTATGTTATAAGTATTGACCATCTTTCTATAGTCATTTTCTATTATAATATCTATTGGATATTTCATATTTAATGTACTTAGGGAATGTAAAAACCGCACTGTTGCGTCACATATATGATATAGGATAAAATAATTTTCTATATTATTAATTGTAAAATTGTTGGAGATATAGGCCATATTTTTAAGAGTTTAATGTCAATTCGTGATTTAATGTGTATCCAGAGCTATTCCAGATCGAATATGTATTATGTATGTGTCGCGTGCGCGCACGCGTGTGCGTATTTTACAGGCTATAATATCTTTTCAAAGAAAATATCAATTATTTTTATCAGATTTAACATATTTCAAATATATCAATTAATACATTAATAAATCAATTGGCAGGATCATGCAAAAACATTGTCACGCGCACGTTTTTATATTAAATTCTATTTTAAGAAAAATTATTGGATCTAAATTTTCTTTAAAGAGTACTGAAAAGAATGTTCTGTAAATGAATATAGGTGTGTAAAGATATAATCAATGGTCACTATTTTGTTAATTAAAAAGTGTTTCAAAATTGTGTTTTTAAATTTATCTAACAAATATGATCAGATCTTTGCACTATCTTAATTTTAATAAATTTACATACAATACTAATTTCTCTATTAATCCAAATCAATTCTCTTGTATTTCTCTTGTATTGATCGACACAATTGTCGTTTCTCACAGCGTTGATAAACAAAATAAAAACATATATAATTTGCATTCAAGTAAGATATACATTCATATTTTATCTAATAATTCTAATATTAATCAATTCCTACAAAAAGAAAAATTTGATTATGTCATTGAAATATACATGAGTGAAATACGTTAGCGCAACACAAAGGCGTATACAGAACCATATTAGAACAAAAACCCGATATATATTTATATTTTTAAGCTATAAAATATGCGTTATAAACAATTAAATTAATATTAAGGTTCGCCGATTGTGCTGCTAAAAATTGAGATGTTATGTATGTGTATAATACTATATTATTGTTTTTTATATGTATACTTTTTCTATATGCATACAAATAAATATACATGTGTGTGTGTGTGTGTGTGTGTGTGTCTGTCTGTCTGTAAAATAAATTCTCATAAAATTTCTAAAAATTTCGATAAAATCTTTCTTCCTTTCTTATATTCTTATAAATTAAAAATATCTTTTTCAAAATATGCATAACAAAATTATTAAAATTATAATATATAATATAAAGGTAAAGATGTATAAAAAGATATATAAAAATATTTATATAAATTATACATTATGCAACATAAATAATCTAATTAATACCAACTAATATATAGTATTCTATATATATGTTAGCACGTTGTGCATCTCAACATTTCAGCAATTATATGTATATACATACATAGAATATTTAAAAATACATAATTGAGATTCATACACACAGGGTACAAAAATATCAGCCTTTCTTTAAAAATACATAATTAGTAATCTTAAATTAATGATAATCCATTGCATATCAATCTACATACATTATAAATGATTTAATAATTTGGCAATATACAAATTTAGAATATAAATAATATATAGGCAAAATTAAAATAAATATGTTGCAATTTATGTAAGAAAAAATATTCTATGCATGGGTTATAGTTATGTTCATTATTGAGCTCTGTTACACGGCACCCTTAATCGGGTTTAATAACATCCGTAGTTGTGAAACTGACCAATCACAGCTATTCCTCTGAAGAATGGAATGACCGTGATTGGCCAGCGTTAGAACTACGGATGTTATTAAACCTGATTAGGGGTGACGTGTAAACGTAGTCATAGGTGTGTGTGTGTGTGTGTGTGTGTGTGTGTGTGTGTGTGTGTGTGTGTGTGTGTGTGTGTGTGTGTGTGTGTGTGTGTGTGTGTGTGTGTGTGTGTGTGTGTGTGTGTGTGTGTGTGTGTGTGTGTGTGTGTGTGTGTGTGTGAATATACATGTGTGTGTGTGTGTGTGTGTGTGTGTCTGTCTGTCTGTAAAATAAATTCTCATAAAATTTCTAAAAATTTCGATAAAATCTTTCTTCCTTTCTTATAAAAAAATAAATTAAAAATATCTTTTTCAAAATATGCATAACAAAATTATTAAAATTATAATATATAATATAAAGGTAAAGATGTATAAAAAGATATATAAAAATATTTATATAAATTATACATTATGCAACATAAATAATCTAATTAATACCAACTAATATATAGTATTCTATATATATGTTAGCACGTTGTGCATCTCAACATTTCAGCAATTATATGTATATACATACATAGAATATTTAAAAATACATAATTGAGATTCATACACACAGGGTACAAAAATATCAGCCTTTCTTTAAAAATACATAATTAGTAATCTTAAATTAATGATAATCCATTGCATATCAATCTACATACATTATAAATGATTTAATAATTTGGCAATATACAAATTTAGAATATAAATAATATATAGGCAAAATTAAAATAAATATGTTGCAATTTATGTAAGAAAAAATATTCTATGCATGGGTTATAGTTATGTTCATTATTGAGCTCTGTTACACGGCACCCTTAATCGGGTTTGATAACATCCGTAGTGTGAAACTGACCAATCACAGCTATTCCTCTGAAGAATGGAATGACTGTGATTGGCCAGCCTTCGAACTACGGATGTTATTAAACCCGATTAGGGGTGACGTGTAAACGTAGTCATAAATTTGTTATAAAAGCAAATAAAGTTTTCATCTTCCCTGCCTCGTTCCTTTCCTCAATTTATTACATAGAATGCAATAAATTTTATATTAAAAAGCAGGTTAAATCAATAAAATATATATTATATCAACAATTATTTTGTCTCAAAATCAATTTTTTTTTTATATATGGAATAGTGGATGTATAAATAAATTTTATCAATAATATTTAGAAAATCTGAATCTCTTTATAAATAAATCAATATTTCTAAGAGTAACAACAAGATATACTATAAAAAAAGAATTAAAAAATCTAATAAAAAATTTAGAAAAACACATCTATAATAAAATAACGTTCGTCATTTAGAGTCAAATAATAAAAATGTGTACATTACAACATAGCTTGAATAGAGAGACACAATTCCAACAAATAAAAATTGAAGCACATATTTAAAAAGAAATATTGTGTACTCTCTGTTATGTGGATTTACCAATCAGTCAATCAAAATATTTCATGAATAATAATGATCTACATCTATATAGAGTATTTTTTGCTCATTTATATCGCTACATATAATATATCGCGAATCAAAATTATTTTATATTAAGAATGTAAGAATGTTAACATTATGAAAGTTTTTATGAATGTTACATTTAAATATTAAGTATATTAAAAGAAACAATAGATATCCCGGAATATAAGCAAACTCGGAGTATCGATATTGATCTCATTCTCTTATATAAGTACGGAGAACATAACATTCGGGATATTGACCGAAAAAGCTTGTACTAGTTTTCACGTACTTTTATGGAATCAGGCACGAATAAATCGCCGTAGAGTAGCTCGAGCACATCGAACCCAGCCTTTGTGCAGTGACAAGGAAGTCGGTAATGTTTCAATGTTCAAAACAGACGAACAGTTCTGTCATGTCTCTTGATTACTATATGCCATCCAACGTGCATCATCACTTTCATGAGTCAAGTAGCGATAGCCAACTTTTTGCTCCAATTTCCTTAAGTCGCACCACGTTTGATAATCCTTTTAGATGGTAAGAAATAAATTTTTTTATAATATAATTAAGATAATTGAATAAAAAATAAATAAAAATAACGCGTGCGATAACGTATACTTACTTGTAACCATACGTGCTGCAAACTTTTATCTACTGTATATCTTTTTCTTTGCTTAACTTGCAAAAGATTATTAATCAAGTCAATAGCTGAAAG